AGACAAAGAAAAGCCCTCTAGCTTTTTGCTTGGAGGTGTGATGTGTGCCAAGTTACCATGTTTAAACCACAGCCAATAGTGGGAGGGCCCTGGGTGGAGACTCGAGCAAAGTACTCTTCCCAAATGGCATGTGAGTTCTCGACTGGCCTGCTCAGCCGCCTCTAAGAGCCTTGGGAGTAGGGGGAAATTCCAAACCTCTGGTTCAAAAATGCTCAGGTAGCATTTCTTTGTGAATGAAGGAGACAGGAGCTTGTGGACCCCAGGACAGCTCTGATTTCTCAGCATCACCATCCAGAGAGGCCTCACTACATGACTGAGCAAAGAGAGGAAGAGCTGGAGCTTCTGCCACAGGAAATGGTGGTTTGAAAATGGGAGCACAGGTGTCGTGCTGATGGCACGCACACACACTTGCCTCCTGGCTCCATCTTGTTATTGTAACATATCAGCCAAGTGGGTCACTGCTCTTTGCTTTGATTCCTGCCTTGGGCCATTCAGCAGGCCCAAGGTGCTGCATTCCTTCTGGTGATTTTTAAACAAAAAGGTACATAGCAGTCTTTTTCCAGATCCATTTTTGTGGATTCTAATTTAGCTTAGTTCATCAAGTGCATATTGAGTGACCTCCTGCCCTATATTGTTTCAGGTGGAATGGAGGACACAACTAAAGAATAACGTACAGGGCCTACCTTCATGGAACTTGCAATCGAAGTGGGACTTCTATATCTTACTAGGTAGAAAAATATAATATTTAAAGAAACATATTGTAATCAAGGAACTGCTACTAGAATTCGTCTTTGAAAAGGAACCGTATTTGTTTAGGATAGTACCTTAATGAATGCTAGAAGGCAGGTGGAGACCCCCAAGGTGGGTTGGATGGTTCTGTATGAGAAAGGAGGAAGATGATGCTTGTGCAGAAACGGGAAGAGAAAGAAAGGGTCTGCTAGGTGATGAAAGCTGCCTGGTTCACAGTGGAATTTGCTCCCTGGGACCCTCCAATCTTCAGTAGAGGACTTAAACCCACACAATTCTTGGTGTAGGTTAAAAAAAATTTTTTTTATTTGTTTGTGGAAACTGGTTGTATTAGTCTGTTCTCATGCTACTAATGAAGACATACCTGAGACTGAGTGATTTACAAAGGAAAGAGGTTTAATTGGCTCACGGTTCCACATGGCTGGGGAGGCCTCACAATCATGGCCGAAGGTGAATGAGGAAGAAAATCACATCTTGCATGGCAGCAGGCAAGAAAGCTTGTGCAGGGAGACTCCCATGTATAAAACCAACAGATCTCGTGAGACTTATTTGCTACCATAAGAACAGCAGGGGGGAAACCGCCTCATGATTCAATTATCTCCACCTGGCCCCACCCTTGACACATGGGGATTATTACAATTCAAGCTGAGATTTGGGTTGGGGTGCAGCCAAACCATATCCCTGATGAAGGGACTGAAACTTGCACCCAAGACAGCACAGAATAGAGCAAGGGGAGCTGTAGGAGCAAAGACTTAGAGAACCACAAGAAAATTACTCCCAGAAATTACAGAAATCATGTGCAGCTTGACCCCAACAAGCTGTAATAGTAGCACCTTTTTCATATTTATTCAAATTCCTAAGAGCATGGAGTCTCTGACATTTGACTTCCATGTAAATATCATAATCAGAGAATAGCAACAAATGGATGAGCACCAAGTGTAAAAATACTTCGGCCTACTATACAGGTGGGGAAACTAAGCCATAAGTAAAGAACAGATGGGGCTGAAGCATCTCCGGACACCAGTGAAGAGACTCCTTTGGACTTGAGATCAAACTCATTTTCTCGTCTTTCCAATCAATCAGCAAGAATTTACTGAGACTCTACTATGAACTGAGTACTAAGAGAGCTGAAAAAGAAGTGTAAGAGATGGTCTCTGGTCTCCTAGAGCCTAACACTTAGTTGGAGAATTGAGGCTAACGAAGTAATTGACATTTATTGACCACAGGATGGATTCCAGACATTGCTCTGGGCACTTTCCGTACATTACTGCGTGGGTTTCTCAGAACAACACTGTGAACTTATTGTTATGCTCGTTTTACAGATAAGAAAATTGAAGCCACAGAGGATGTGAGTAGCCTGTCTATAGTCACAGAGCTATCAACTGGTAGACCCAGAATTTGAACCTATCTATCTGGCTCCAAATACTATCACTGAAAATGGTCTCCATGGTAAAGACGATGTTGCCAAAATTCAGGTTCTAAGATACATGACATAAACCACAGGTGTTGGTGCTGCAGGAGTTCAAGGGAGAGGGAAGAACAAGAGCTGGGATGGCCAGGAAAGGTAACCCAGAGAAAGTAAGGTTGGCCTGGGCATCAAGGTTGGAAGGAGAGTGTGGGGTGGAGCCTGGGGCCAGGGATGAGCATGAGTTGGGTGGAGGATGGTGAAGGATGGGTTGGCTGCTCAGAGGGCTTTTGGCTCAAAAGATTTGTGTCAAAAGGGCTTTGACATCACCAGTGCCTTCTTTATGGTGACCCTATCTCTAGAGGCTAAAACACAAACCAAAAAATCTGCAGTTCTCATCTTATCCAGCTCTGTCACTGACTTTTTCTGTGGCTCTAGATACTCCTGTCTGAGTCTAAGTGTCCTCAAAATAAAAGTAGTGGGTTGGGTGAAATAAGCACTATGCTATAGTTCCCTTAAGGTGAAAAAAAGCCTATGGTTCCCATTTGTATTCAAAGGTTAGGAAAAAAATTAGAGCTTATAAAATATCTTTCAGGACCGTGGCCAACTTGTGTCTCAGATCTAGATGGACTGGCAGAAGCTTGTCTTAGGACAAAGGTGACAGACTGCTTTCATCCTCCTGAGACCCTAGAAAGATAGAGAGGGCTGGCATTATCCTGTCCTGAAGCCTTGGTGCTGCACCTAGTCATCGTTAGTTTCTGTGAGTTGGTGAGCAGCAGAGCCACCAGCACCGGGTGTGAGGGACAGGAGGGTGACTCGCCAGGCATTACTGATGCACTTTCTTTGTGTTATTTTCCAATTCCAAGGTAGTACTTTTCTGTTTGTTTTATTTTTTTAATCTCAAATGAAATTGGAGAGAAGTAATATCTTTTAAAGTGATATAAATGGCAGGGTGTTTCTTCTCAAATCAACTGTTATATTAGAAGTTCTCAAAATATCTATGATAGAATAAGAAAGAGGAACTAGTCTCAAAATAGTAAGTGCTACTATACTAGTTTGCTGGATCAGTTCCATAGGCTGATGAAACACAAAGTTCAGGCTACTGGCTTTGCTTCTTATCCTGGTATTTGAGTGATTTCTCCAGTGGTTCCTGATGTTGATATCATAAACCTTGAATAGATCAATCACACACACACACACACACACACACACACACACACACACACACTCACACTCCTGCACAGAGGGTTCTCAGTGACCATAAGTCACTCAGAGTAGAAGTGCTCCCTCCTCTAACATCAGCAATGATTTGAAATGTCATGCTTTATACAAATTCATAACTCTCTGCCTGGCCCCTAACTGTCTTTTTTCAATCAGAGCATATGGCTGTTGAAGTATATTTACTTTAGGAAATAGAATCCATAACCAAGGTGTTTGCAAAGTCAGCTCAGTAAGATTCCTTGGGCTAATTGATGTATGAAAGGCCTAAGGAGAAAAAGAGAGGCTCTTTTCAAACTGAGAAGGAAACTTGTGGTCAGCTATCAGGGTGGAGGCCCCTTGGATCTTGGTACGATGCCTTATACGAATTCATTGAGATTATCTGTATCTTTGGTCAACTCTGTAAACATCTGGTTCTGTCCACCATGATTCTGTTCCTTTGGAACTCACTTTTTTCTTTTTCAATTTCTGCCCCACAAATTCATCACAGGTTCAACAACAAGCAGGCTTATTCCACAATCATCCTTATAAGTTTCCCTTACACCTTAATGTTATCTGGGGTTACTCTTTTTGGAACCTTAGTGTGAATACTCTACTTAGAACCCTAGTGCTTCATGTTGGTCCACACTGTTCATACCCTGGAATAACTTTTCCCAAGCCCATAAGTCTTTTTGGCTCTCCAAGAAGTCTGTCTTTAGTATTCAGCCATATTTCTACTCCTAAACCAAGCTCTAGTTTTTGAGGTTCTCCAGGCTGTTTTCCTTCTCTGCAAAATGGGAGTAATGAGTGTACCCACCTTGTAAGATTACAGTGAGGATTAAATGTTAGTATACATGACGTACTATCAATATATAGCCCATTGCAGTGCTGAATAACTGTTTATTATTATCTTACTGAGCTACATGTCTTGGGGCAATAGTTATTCACTGTTTTTCAAAGTGTTGCTCCTGGTCCAAAAGGATTTGGTAAAGTGGGTAAAGGAGAGAAAGCAATGAAAGTTGTCTGTCTGATTTTAAGACTTGGTGATTAGTTCTCAGGCTAATTTTAAACATGAAGATGATTTAGAGGAAAGACTAAATACTTTCCTTTCAGTTCAGGTCTGCTGGGTTTAACACAGTTATTTGCATAAAAGGACAACAATAGCACTATTATGTTTATCTTTTAAAAAGAAAAGTAGATATTTCTTTCTCCCAGTGTCTCATGAGAGTAACATGAATTCACAGGGATGGCACACGGAACCATTATGTTCTCTTTACTCAAAATGGATACAGGACACATTAGAAATCTTAAGATAGAGAAACTGGGCAGAGAGATTGACTTAGGAGAGATGAAGATAAATTTAATTTTAGACGTGTGGTAGTTGAGTTAAAAATAAAGCATTCGGATAGAAAAATCTTGATGAAAGTAAGAATGTGAAAGTATATAGAGAGAAATTAGAATAAGAAAACAGACCTAAGAATCTTCAGTGGTCTAAAGCTGATCTCTAAAACCATGAAAGCAAACGTCTCCCTTGGGAGAGAATGCAGAAATAGAACCTGAGGCTCCTTTAACCGACTTCATGTAGGATGTTTTTAAACTCGGAATACTTTTGAGATTGCTCTTTGACTTTTTTTGTTTGTTTGTTTTTCAGAGACAAATATATGGCCAGTGTATGCTTGGCTGTTCTTAGCGGGTGTCATCATTATTCTCATCATGATTGCAATAATGCTGCTGAGAAGAAGAGGTAGGTGTCTGGCAATAAAGACATTCTCATCACACTCTTTGTGGTAAGCAGGGGACCTCTTGCCACAGGCTCGGACTTGCTGTCACCACTTTGACTTTCTGCATGGGGCCACCTTTGCAAAAATACTAGATAAACATATCCTGGCTCCTTGCTTAATTCAGTCTAATTCAACATGTCTTGATCCCCTCTACTAGGCTATGGAGAGAAATAGAAGAGCCACAGGTTTCTAATGTGAGTGACATTATTCAGATAATTTCAGTTCAGTGTGACTAGCACTGCCGTCAAGCTAAATACAGGATGCTGAAGAGGTGTACAAGAGGTTTAAGAGTATTCACTGAGAACAGAATTCAGAAAATTCTTGGATCTCATCCAAAAAGTCACCCAGGTTAAAATGAAACCAGTAAGGCAAATCATTCCCCTGCAGCTTAAGCACCTAGAGGTCCCATCCCCTGCCCTCTCTTCCAAATTTCCCTATGATTCAATATCTCAGGGCTTTGTGCTCTCTTCAACCACCCTGACTACTACCAATCCACACTGGAGTCAAAATGTCCTGACCTGGACCAGGACAGATGCCCTGGCTGCCTTCCCATGGTAAGGATAGAACTTGATCCTCATACCACCAAGCTGATGACTGATTTCATTTTCAAGTAGATCAATATCACCTACACGTAACCTTCTTAGAAAAGCCCTTACCTCGGCACTCTGATGTTGGTTTTGCTTATATATAAAAAAATCTAGATCGTAGCACAGCAAACTACTTGTGTCTCATTTCCTCCATCTAAGAGTTAGCTAGGGAGGAGGGATGGGTGATTCAGATAGAAATTATGTTGACAGCCTATGGGGCTGCAGGTGGGGCAATCACATTTAGCTTGTACTATAAAGAAACAGTGAGATACCCGGGATGAGAAAACTGAACTGAACTTATCCACATTAACCTACCTAGCAAAGTTGCTGGGATCCTACCCCATACACTTTCTTCAACTACACTTGGCTCATCACACGGTTTTGCTCTAAGGGAATAGTGTGCCCCATCCCACAATCCCCCACTACCTTCCCCAACACATATACCCATCCTCACCTTATCTCTAGTCACCATTTGTCCCTTGTAAGTTAGCAACACAAAAAACTCTGCCTCACACTTGTGGTAAAATTTATATTTAGTTGCTATAGTTTCCGGAAGACATTGCTCAAGAACTTCTGTTGGCAGCTTCTAATGAGATAATCTTCAGAATGCAGCCTGACTCTGAAAACTTTTCAATGGACTCTTTGGCAGTTTCATGTCCAGGAGAATACACTGATTAAGAATGTGGGTATGGGCATTAGGCAAACTTACATTCAAATGCAGATTTTGCTACTGACAAGCTGTGTAGTCAAATGACTTAACTTCTCTTCTGCAAAACAGGGGAAATTTATGTACTTCATGGTATTGTTGTGGAGACTAGTATCAATACACAGAAAACACTATACACAGTGGTTCCCATGGATGAGTGTTAGATAGATAGATACATACACAGACAGACAAATCTCTTAGTGAAGGTGAGTTAAAACACCAATGTTTAAGTGTTATGGCCAGGAGAGGGCTGCACTGGAAGCACCTGGAAACAATACCTAGAACAGGTTTAAAGTATTTGAAGTCATGGTAACATAAGACTTTATGCTTCAGGTAAGAGCTGAAAAGGATATTAGATACTCTACACTCTCATTTTACAGTTACGGTAAGAGAAGAGATCCATTGAAATGACATGATTTATGCCACACAGCTAATGATGGCTAGAATGTAAATGTCCTAATACTAAAGCCAAGGCTTTTTCATAGAGCCTAGGACCTTGCTGACTTGGAGCCGAGTTGAGCTTGCTCCTGAAAGCCTGTTCTTGCAATGGGGAAAATCATCTGAGACTAAATTAACTTGGTCCAATGGTACTTTTAAGCGGCAACAATCAACCTCACCTTTTCCATCTGTCTAACCATTTAGGACTGCCCTCCCAATTTGACATTTGAGTCTGAGCTGACTGCAAGACTGAAAGACTTTGAGGACTGGAGTCTGTTCTCTACTCTATTTGTAGCCACCACAGCACCTGAGAGAGTGCTGGGCAGGCATGTCTAACTTTGCGAACACTCATGGGGACTAACATGCACCCCCTTTGCTACCTCCAACTGCTTCTTGAGTCCTTCCCTCCATTTTACACACACACACACACACACACACGCGGGCGCGCCTCAGGATCAACTCTGACCAAAAAAGTGAAGTTGAAACCATGAGGCACACCATGCTCATACCCACACACACACAAAAAAACCCCATGTTGACTTTCCTTGAATTCTTGGAACTTCATCAGTGGCTGGCCAACATTTCCTCCCCAAGACTCACACCATCACACAGCATATTCTACCATGCTTACCACATACAGACCAGGCCCTTCCCTTCCCCTCTTACGGGAATAGAGATCAGCCTGGCCAACATGCTTGTTGCACAGAGCTGATCTACAGGGATATACATCAAACTTTTAAAAGTGGTTTCTTCTTTTCCCCTCCCTCCACCCCTTCTTTTCACAGGTATTGAAAAAAAATGGTTTCTTTTGGGAATAAAATTGGGTTGGTTAATGGGGAAAGGGGACTTAATACTTTTGACTTTATACTTTTCTTCACCATTTTTATTTTATGGTGAGAATAAATTACTCCTACTATTTAAAAAGAAACTTTTAAAAATTGGCTAAAAATTAAAATGTTCTATAACTTATTAATTTCCAGAGACCCTAGGCCCTGAGCAAAATATCCAGATGGTGGGTGACAGAATGACATTGTTGCTTTATTTTCCAAATAGTCCCAGATGGAACATCCCTGCTACACGTCCCCCCACCCTCATCCCCCACACATTGATTCCCCCAGAAATAGGGAGGTGAGAAAGCTGCCAGTGAAGCAACATACTACCAGCTGGAAAATACAAAAGAGGTATAAATAACTAGCCCTGCCCTCAAAGAACTTAGAAGCCTATTAGGAGACCAGATATGCTCATTGAGCAACAGAGATTAAAATAATTGAATGGTACACCAATGAGAATAACAGCTAATGCATATTGGGCATTTGTTATGCGCCAGGCAATGCTCTACACACTTTACAAGTGGTATCTCATTTAATTACCACAACAGCCCCATGAGGCAGGTATTTCAAATCCCATTTCACAGATAGGCCTAGAGAGATCAAGTAACTAACCTAAGACCACATGTGCAGGGGGTTTGGGACTCAGGGCTTTGTTTCTATGGTACTCTTGGGGAAAGTGAGTATGCAAAGGAGAGTAAAGACCAGAAAGGTCTGAGTAGGAAGCTCCTGCTGGGGACCAGAGGAAGATAACCATTGTGGTTTCTTTTCACCAGGTAAAACGGACCATTACCGGACAACAACGGAAAAAAAAAACCTTACGATCTATGCCCAAGTCCAGAAACCAGGTGTAAGTTCTATACATTGTTTGAGATGAACCTGTCAAGTTTCCCATGGGATTCCTGGCCAGTCTACCTTGCCTGTTAGACATTCACAGTTTCCCATCCAGAGCAGAGGAAAGCAGGGAACTAGAGTCAAGAACAAGGGCTTTCCTATAGGTCACTAAACCTCAGTTTTTGAAATAATGGGATAATTTTCTGATCATGTTTCTTCATAGCAAAGAAATGAAGAAGCTGGAAATACATGCTGTATGACTCTTTCCAGCTCTGGCATTGCAAGAGTCTAGGGTTCCATGTTACTGAATTATTCCCTCTAGGGAAAAGAATGTAGGCTAGAGGAGAAAGGAGAAGGTTTGGAAAAGCTATTGCGTGACATGTTGGAAGTGACAGGGAAGGTAGAATCTTCAACATTTTGGCTATAGTGTGGTTAAAGAGATGAAAGGTGATATGTGGGCTGGAGATGGAAGAAAGCAAAACTGTGATAGAGTGATCATTGGACTCAGAAGTGAAGAATGGAAAAACTGGGCCCATGATGAAGTTGAGAGCAAATACGCTAGAAGGAAGAGATAGAGATGCTAAAAAATTGTGGTTAGATGTAGAGACACTGTAGTTTTTCAACATGAAGGCAATTCTTGGTGATGCTTAGGCCAGAATCTGGCCATTTGAGGTGTAGGGAGAGGCAAATTCTTGAGTAAAGGATGTGAAGGTAAAGACAGTTTTTATTAGTACCTTAGAAAATTGCATCAAATGACAGCAAATGCACTTCTGAGAACCAAGAGATGGACACTTGGACAAAGTTCTTATTTCTGCTGTCCCCTAGTGGCCTGGAGGGTTTATTACAGAACCCTGCTTCATCCTTCCCCCTCAACCAAACTCTATTTAAATAGATGAGAATCCCAAGAGTAACCCTTTTCCTCCATGCTCTCATCTGCATATTTAGGTAACCAGGTTCATCTTTACCATGGTGTCTTCCCTCACTACTCTATCCTATGCTGCTAGCATCCCTCTTTTTTGCTGTGAAGAATGACATATGGAAGTCACTACCCACATGGTAGCTTTTTAAATTTAAATTAATTTGAATTAAATAAAATTTAAAATTCAGTGGCATTCGTCAGTTCAGGACTGTCCTCCCAGTTCAACATTTGAGTCTGAGCTGACCTGCAAGACTGAAAGTCTTTGAGGACTGGAGTCTGTTCTCTACTCTATTTGTAGCTACTATAGCACCTAGGAGAGTGCTGGGCAGGCATGTCTAACTTTGCAAACACTTGTGCGGACTAACTTGCACCTCCTCTGCTACCTCCAACTGCTTCTGATCACACTTTGAGTCCTCCCCTCCATTTTACACACACACACACACACACACTCTCTCTCTCTCTCTCTCTCTTTCTTTCTCTCTCTCTCTCTCCTCTCTCTCTCTCACACACATGCCCATTCCTCAGTCAGGATCAGCTCTGACCAAAAAAGTACACAACATATAAATGTCAGCTCGATGAATTACCCATAAGTGTATATCTTGATATTTGGTAAAGCAAGTCTTCCTAATTTGTTTTTCTGCAAGAGTTTTTGGCTATTCTTGTTCCTTTGTACTTTCACATGTATTTTGGAATCGACTTATCAAGTACAATGAAAAGAAAAAAATTTATTAGGATTGCATCGAATGCAGATCTATATGAGGAGAAATTAGGTCTTTCAGTATTGAGTCTTTTTTTTTTTTTTTTTTTGAGACAGAGTCTTGCTCTGTTACCCAAGCTAGAGTGCAGTGGTATGATCTCAGCTCACTGCACACCGCAACCTCCTCCGCCTCCTGGGTTCAAGTGATTCTCCTGCCTCAGCCTCCCAATAGCTAATATTACAGGCATCTGCCACCATGCCTGGCTAATTTTTGTATCTTTAGTTTCACCATGTTGGCCTGGTTGATCTCAAACTCCTGACCTCAAGCGATCTGCCCGTCTCAGCCTCTCAAAGTACTGGCATTACATGAGCCACTGTGCCCAGCCTCAGTATTGAGTCTTCTAATACCACAAACCACCACGCAGATCAAAGAATAGAACATTGCTCATACTTCCTGAAGGCCTCCTGTGCCACTTCCCAATCATTACTTCCTCTCTCTTCCCAGAACATAACTACTATCCTGACTTCTAGAAATACAGTTTAACTTTCCTTTTCTTATGTTTTGACCTTTATAAAAATTGAATTTTTTATTCTTTTCTCTCTAGTGTCTGATTTATTTTGCTCAGTGTTATCTTCATGAGATTCATACATGTCTTTGAATTTAGATATAATGCATTCTTTTTCATTGCTTCATAAAACATAAATGTGTGAATATACTAGAGTTTATTTATCCAGTTGACTATTGATGGACATGTGGGTTATTTCCAGTTTGTGACTATTATGAAAGTTGCAGCTGTGAAATTCATATGCAAGCTGTTAATTGGACATGTACACATATTTTTGTTGGATATATACCTAGGAGTAGAATTACTGAATCATAAGGTATGCATATCTTCAAATTGACTAGATAAGGCCAAGCTGTTTTTCCATTTACTTTTCTATCAGCTTCATATGAGCATCTCAATTGCTATGTGTTCTTGTTTTTTTTTTCTTTGAGACAGAATCTCCCTCTGTTGCCTAGGTTGGAGTGCAGTGGAGCAATCTCAGCTCACTGTAACCCCTGCCTCCTGGGTTTAAGCCACTGTCCTGTCTCAGCCTCCCAAGTAGCTGGGATTACAGAAGCACACCACCACACCTGGCTCATTTTTGTATTTTTGGTAGAGACAGAGTTTCACCATGTTGGCTAGGCTTGTCTCAAACTTCTGATCTCAGATGATCTGCCTGCCTCAGCCTCCCAAAGTGCTGGGATTACAGTTGTGAGCCACTGTGCCTGGCCTCGACTGCTCTGCATTCTAATGAAAACTTGGTATTAGCAGTCTAATTTTAGTCCTACTCTTGGATGTGCCTTATTATGCTTTTATTATATCTCTCTAATTATTAAGGAAGTTGAATAACTTTTCATGTTTATTAGCCATATTAAAATTATCTTTCTTAAAGTGCCCATTTGATTTTTGCTCATTTTCCTTTGAGGTTTAAGTCTTTCTTTTATGGACTAGTATATGCTTTTCATATATTTTGGATATGTGCCCTTTGGCAGGTATGTTAGCAAATACCTTCACCCATGGCTTTCCTTTGGAATTTTTTAGAGATACCTATTGATAAAGAGAAGGTCTTAATTTTGTTGTAGACCAATTTAGTAATCCTTTTTAAGTATTACCGGATTTTATTTGCTAATATTTTGTTAAGAGTTTTGTTTTCCACTTATGTTTCTGAGTGAAATTGGCCTGTAATTATTCTTTTGTAATGCCTTTAAAACAAAGATTTTATTGTATTTTAAGTTCTGAGATACGCATGCAGAATGTGCAGATTTGCTACATAAGTATACACATGCCACGGTGCTTTGCTGCACCCATCAACCCATCATCTACATTAAGTATTTCTCCTAATGCTGTCCCTCCCATAACCCCCTACTCCCAATAGGCAACAGTGTGTGATGTTTCCCTCCCCTGTGTTCATGTGTTCTCATTGTTCAACTCCCATTTATGAGTGAGAACAGGTGGTGTTCAATTTTCTGTTCTTGTGTTAGTTTGCTGAGAATGATGGTTTCCAGCTTCATCCATGTCCCTGCAAAGGACATGAACTCATCTTTTTTAATGGCTGCATAGTATTCCATGGTGTATATGTGCCACATTTTCTTTATCCAGCCTATCATTGATGGGCATTTGGGTTGGTTCCAAGTTTTTGCTATTGTGAATAGTGTTGCAATAAACATACATGTGCAGGCGTCCTTATAGTAGAATAATTTATAATCCTTTGGGTATATACCCAGTAATGGACTTGCTGGGTCAAATGGTATTTCTAGTTCTAGATCCTTGAGGAATTGCCACACTGTCTTCCACAATGGCTGAACTAATTTACATTCCTACCAACAGTGTAAAAGCCTTCCTATTTCTTCACATCCTCTTCAGCATCTGTTGTTTCCTGACTTTTTAATAATCGCCATTCTAATTAGCATGAGATGGTATCTAATTGTGGTTTTATTTGCATTTCTCTAATGACTGGTGATGATGTGCTTTTTTTTCATGTTTTTTGGCCACATAAATGTCTTCTTTTGAGAAGTTTCTGTTCATATCCTTTGCCCACTTTTTGATGGGGTTGTTTTTTTTCTTGTAAATTTGTTTAAGTTCTTTGTAGATTCTAGATATTAGTCCTTTGTCAGATGGAAAGATTGCAAAATTTTTCTCCCATTCTGTAGGCTGCCTGTTCACTCTAATGATAGTTTCTTTTGCTGTGCAGAAGCCCTTTAGTTTAATTAGATCCCATTTGTCAATTTTGGCATTTGTTGCCATTGCTTTTGGTGTTTTAGTCATGAAATCTTCACCCATGCCTATGTCCTGAATGGTATTGCCTAGGTTTTCTTCTAGGGTTGTTATGGTTTTAGTTCTTACAAACATTTAAGTCTTTAATCCATCTTGAGTTAATTTTTGTATAAGGTGAGGAAGGGGTCCAGTTTCAGTTTTCTGCATATGGCTAGCCAGTTTTCCCAACATCATTTATTAAATAGGGAATCCTTTCCCCATTGCTTGTTTTGGTCAGGTTTGCCAAAGATCAGATAGTTGTAGATGTGTGGCATTATTTCTATGGCCTCCGTTCTGTTCCATTGGTCTATATATTTGTTTTGGTACCAGTACCATGCTGTAGGCTTGTAGTATAGTTTGAAGTCAGGTAGCATGATGCCTCCAGCTTTGTTCTTTTTGCTTAGAATTGTCCTGGCTATATGGGCCCATTTTTGGTTCCATATGAAGTTAAAAGTAGTTTTATCTAATTATTTGAAGAAAGTCAATGGTAGCTTGATGGGGACAGCACTGAATCTATAAATTACTTTGGGCAGTATGGCCATTGTCATGATGTTGATTCTTCCTGTCCATAAGCATAGAATGTTTTTCCATTTGTTTGTGTC